TCAAGCCCGAAGTGAGAGTTAGCGCGGTGTCGTTCTCGCCGACGGGAAGGGCGTGGGCCGCTGCAACAACCGAAGGGGTGCTCGTTTACTCCCTTGACAACACTCTCGTTTTCGATCCTTTCGAGCTGGAGCAGGGAGTCACACCGGCGACGATACGAGCGGCGGCACGCGAGAAGGACTATGTCCGCGCCGTCGTGGCGGCGTTCCGGCTCAACGAAGACGAACTGACCACGGAGGTCATCGAGGGCATTCCAGTGGGGGAGATTGACCTGGTGTGCCGGTCCCTGCCACAGGTCTACGTCGAGAAACTGCTCAACTTTGTGGGTGCGAAACTGGAGTCCACAACACACGTGCACTTTTACGTCACTTGGGTCGTGACGCTGCTGAAAGGTCATGGTGAAGTGTTGAAGGAGAGGTCGCGAAACATAATGGCGACGTTGAGGACAGTGACAAAGAACGTGGGGTTGAGACATACAGAGTTGTCGAAAGTTTGCGATCACAACAAGTATCTGTTGAGTTACATTGAGACGCTTCGGAAGTTCAAGGAAACAGAGGGGCCAGAAGAAAGAATGTCCGAAGGAGGTAGCGGGTGACGATGAGCTTGATTCTGAAGTAGACAGTGAAGACGAACTGATGGTGTCCTAAGCGAGTTTCTGGGAAAAGTTTGTGCATTGTAAATAAATGTCTCACAATGGTAGGATTCCAATTTGTTTACAGTTGTATTATATGGGGATCTGATGTTGCATATCTTTTGGAATATAAATAAAATAGCGCTTTAGCCAAACGCTGTGGACAGTACAGGACGCAAACAAATGTAGAAAAACAGGCACAGTCAGCATTGAAGGCTCCTTTATTTTGTGTGTTACTATCAACAGCACTTTTGTTGTAACAAACAGAATGAGTAAACCCTTATTTTCTCTTATTACAATGTAACAACTAATAAAAAACTTTGGTATCTAACCCTAAAGTCACTGCACATCACAACACCTTATAAAAACAAATGAAAACCTGTGCCCATCAGGCACTATTAAAGAAATATGCCAACATTCACATTTTAAACATTCCTTGCCTTTGGTGCTATTACCCTTCCTCCCCCCAGTAGCATGAGTTGTAGGTGCAACATTGCCACAACATTGAGAAAGTTGTGTCAATGTTAATGCAACATTGTGTGCTATTGGCGAGCTGGCTATGCCAGTGAAAGACCGCAGCAAAAACATAGTTTCTTTGAGACTTGCTTGATCTTGCACAACACACGCATGCAACGATTGCTGTAATATATGTGCTACAAATCTTTGACGACACATTAACATCATTTATGCTCAAACCGCCTTCACTGGGGATTTAGCTGCAGCAGTTGAAAATGACAGTGCACATGCAAAAAAATAGGTATAATTTTAAAAAGTAAAGACGAAATTACATATGTATATACTACAAATCTTTCTCAGATATTGCACAGTAAACTTGTTTACTTCAACTAAAAACTTCTCTGCAATCTGACGCCATGCACTGCAGGTATCACCGTTTTGGTGTTTAACGACTTGAAAAGAAGAAACGTGATGCTTTATTCTAAAGGAAAGGCAATAAGAGTTACGATGGCCTTAAAAAATGCCACTTATCCTGTTTATATAATGTGGGCAGTGAATTCGTAGTTTTTGTGTCGCCATAACGCTGAGATTCGATATGCAGTGAAAAAAAAAACATCGCTCAGCTTGTATCACAGACAGGGCTTAGCTTGCACACTATGCAACAGGAATCCAAGTTTCCAAATGCAAGAACAGAACAAGTTTCCAAATGCAAGAACAAGTTTCCAAATGCAAGGCCTTTAAAAAAAGGTAACAAAACATATGTATATATTTTTTCACTGGGCTTGCTGTAAGAAAAAAGGAACATCTACCTAGAGAACAAGCAGCACCTCAGAATAAACGTGTAAAAATTGTTTTTTGTGAAAGCACGATAGACTAGGCCCATTAAAAAAGATGATTGAAAATAAAATGATGCTTTTGCAATAAAATGCACTAAATAATTGTTCATTTTCCAGGCTCTTGTCATGACAAAATGAAAAAATTATGCTGAAAACATCCATAAGGGCCGATTTACGCACTTCCCGCACAGCCGCAACACACGTGCCAGGACCTCTGCTGCATGCAAGCGGGAGACAAATAAGCCAATTGGCGACGCTGCGGAGGATAAAAGAGCGTCTCCAATTGGCTTATTTGTCCCCCGCTTGCGTGCAGTAGGGGTCCCGGCACATGCGTTGCGGCTGTGCGGGAAGGGCGTGGAACGGCCCTTAACAAGCAGCCTCAATAAATATGGGCATCTTTGCTATGATCAACAGAATGAACATAGATCGATCCTACGACGACGACGGTGTGGTCCATGTAAACTATGCAAAGCAGTGCCGTAGGCTTGTAAGAGTTGAGCTTCTCGAAAACAATGCCTTGGTAATCATCTGATGTTCAGTGTTCACGGTGTTGCGTACATCCTTGCAAAAAAGTTCAAGCCCTTCAGTAATTGCATTCTAGCTCCATTTAAAGTCTAAATAATCTGCAGCCAAATAAGCATGGTATCACTTAAAGAAATATTGTGGCCTAATATGCAAACAAATATATTACAAACTAATTGCGAATAGATGCATACGATCATAATACTAACTGGTATATTGTCAGCAACTGGAAAGTCATCATGTTATAATGCCACCACTCAAGCACTGTTCAAATTCCACCATTTAAATCAAGAACAGCACCCCGTGTCTAAGATATGTAGGCATCTTACCATTGCATTCTTCATATATATATATATATATATATGTTAAATTCATAATGCAAACACTCGGGCATTTTTCGAAGTTGTGCCACTCGCGACATGAAAGTTCAGATTGACCAGAACGTTCAACACATTGGCATTAAAAATTGCTACAAAAATCTTTGAAAGTTACATAGTGGACAATGAAAATGTTTCACTGCTTATTGGCATCTGCAACCTTTAACGAGCTTAAATTTCTCAAGTCCACTGAAATTAGGCTATTTCATATGATACAGAAATGAGAGCATGGGTTGCATATCCAGCAGCTAAGCTTATGCTTCAAACTTTCAATAAAAATAATAATTTATTATGACCAGTAAAACAAATTGCTGTAGTTCATTGATAAAGGCTATATGTTTTGAGATAAAAGTGATATAGTACAAAGTGACCCTGTCAATATACGAGTGCTAATGGGAACAGCCTCAACAAACACCACGACTATAATTTCACAAATTGGTGACAAGCTGAAGTAATTAACAAAAAGGACAATAAAAACATGTGAACCCCTAATGAATTTGATGTGTTCATAAATAAGAGTTTTCACCACCCTAGAGCAAAGATTTGTTCCTTTCAAATTTTGTTCAGCACTTGTGTTGATCTAGATGCAACTCGTCTCGCTTTCACTGTCAACATAAATAACAGAAATCGTCACATGCTTGGGCTTTCCTCACTATAAATGTTACAAAACATTGCTTTTAGGAGGCAGAAGAAGAAAACCTACTCGAGTAGTGTTAACTGTCGAAGTGTCAGATGTACGGTTTGTGACTCAGTTCATAGTTCTGTCATGTACCTATGAAAACACTTTTATGCAATTACAGATCACTTATGAAGGAGAAACAACATTAATGATGCACCTTGTCAATTCGTTTATCAAATCTGCACTACACACTGACAGTAAACTACAAATTCGCTTTGAAATCTGAAATGAAATGATAAAAATGCCTGAAAACATGCAGTTTTCAAAGTAAAAGGGTAGCGATGCCATATATCAGTGCATTTATGCACAGTGTTTTTATAAAGCATGACTCTTTTATTTAAGAACCTCTATTGAGAAAGTGCTGAAATAATGAAACTTGATGCTGATATACCTGACTCTTGACATAGCAAGTTTTAAACATTTGGACTATAAATAAAGTACCTAGGCTTTATTTATTCCATTTTGCAATTGTGGTATAATATTAGCGCCTAAAATTTCATGCCAGAATAGGTGTTCCTCACCTTGCAAGACAGAAACGCCAGGGGTGTAAGCAAATCCTACTTAGATCTACGCAGTTGGGAGGCAAGCTACAGCGCTGCAAATTTAGGCTGCAATAGCTAGTGAATGTTAATTTATCTTTTTTTTGCATTGGTTTCAATGAACAGCACAAACAATGCAATGTCATTAAAAAAGGAAAGAATCATGCAAAGAATAAAACAGTCCCTATATCAGCCTGATATTGCACAACTTTCAGGTTTTCTTGGTACAACAAATTGCTGGAGTACCAAAAAGGCTTGTTATCGGCCATTATATGGTTTGTAACAAGGCTACTAAAGTTCAGAAAAACACCCCACGCTTATAGAATGAGAGGTACACTAATGTTGCTATGATAATAAGAATTTGAGAGGAGCTTCTTCCACGAGCTAATATATAGTCTCCTTCAGAAAAACACCCCACGCTTATAGAATGAGAGGTACACTAATGTTGCTATGATAATAAGAATTTGAGAGGAGCTTCTTCCACGAGCTAATATATAGTCTCCATTCGTTCAAGCAAACAAAGACCCAGTTCTTAACGTTGTACAAAATTAAAGCGACTCAGCCATAAGTTATAATTGTAAACTATGGTGAAGTCCTTCACAGGTGACAACTATTGCCATCAGTTGCTGCAATAGTCAATGCAGATGGATCTATATATTATAGTTATGTGCTATTGAGGGTGGACCGTTCAAAAACTACCCCTGTCCAAAAATGAATAATGCACTGTAATGAAGGAACAAATGCTCTTTCCAGAGAGCCATATCATAGATTATGAATGCAAGCAACAGCATGCAAACATCGACTAGGTTTCCCACAATGCGTGCGCTTCATGTAAAATAGTACCATAGGGATTGGCCGTAGAGATGCGACCATCATGCAGGAGTAGTCTCAAACTTTGAAAATAACCTGTAGACCCCTCGAAATCACGCCTTATTCAATATTGTCGTATATCTAAAAACTATTTATACATTTAGTACGGTGCTCTTTTCTGCACTCACGGCGGCACTACGCTGCTTACCACCGTTCATAAGGCCGCGCTGCAAGTCTTCATCATCCCGAGACCGTGGCATCTCTTTGGGCTTGTTCACAACAGGCTGTTGAGAGTAGCAGTAGATGGCGATGGACACAATAGCGATCGCCATGACAGTGTACGCGTCGACGGGAATCTTGAAGATGATCCAACAAAGCACAGCCATCACGGACAGGTCCAACGCACTCGCAAAGGTCTTAAGGATGGAGTTGAGGCTCTTCAGAAAGACCGACGTCACGATGCCACAGATGGCGCCGTTGACAATAATGGCAATGACTAGCGGGTTGACCAGCGTCGCAACCGATGCGCGGGAGAACGCACTCCACGCCTCGCCGCGCACCAGCAGCACAGCTGCGTTGCAGACGATCGAGTCAATGTACATGAACACATTGTGAATCATAATGTCAATGTTGACGCCAGTGTCCTTGAGGAGGAACTCGTTGTAGACGCCAGCAAAGCAGGAACAAAATACCTGCAAAATGAATGCGCATTCACAGGTGTGCTGCAACCTGAAAGCTTGTTCAATTGAGATCTACTCATGTCCACATTAAAAGTGTTGATGTCATACTGGTGCTAGCCACTAGATGGCACAGATTGTCCAAAGGTAAGCACAAGGAGGTCAGCTGCAGATTCGCCAAATATGTCACGCATACATACCAGAGCAGAGTTGAAAATGGTGCACACTCGATCCCATATGTATTGGATCTACATAAAATGAGTGTGCACATCAAATAGTCAACAAAGAAATACTTCGACAGATAAAATGTCTCACTTTTATTGTGAACCCCGTCAGATCATCTGGGTTCAACTGTATTGAAGATATGACATCGCAGCTGTGTATTATTACGCTTCAATGCTGATCACACTCGCACCGACATTCATCATGAAATGGTGTTGTTGGAATGTCGTCAAATATAGCAGCAGGGCAATCTTTAAGACAGTAAAAAGAGCCTTTAAAAACTCGTCGTATACGCTCAAACCTTATTATAACAAAGTACACAAAAATAGATTTGTTATATCTGGAAATTTCTCATGACAGTTTATTACTAACACTATATGTGTAGCAAGACTATTTTTCTTTTACTTCGCTACAATCGATATTTAGTTATATCCAGATTCGTTGTATCTATGTCTGAGTGTAGTACTCACTTGCAGCAGCAGCAGCAACATGTGACCACTGAACAAACTGCTGAAGATGCCGGCCACTTCGCCGCCTGCGGCATGTGGCGACTTTGAGGGCAGACCGAGGTGCTTCACGATGCATCCTGCAGTCAACAACAGCAGGGACAGCCACTGCTTTCGCGTCAGCTGTTTCCTGAAGAGCACCTGCGCACGAAATGCGTACACATAGCGCGGGCCAAGTTCCGCTGGTCCTAGCATCTGTTACGTCACTAGCATCTGTTACGTCACTAGCATCTGTTACGTCGTAGGAGAAATGCAGTTTTGCAGGTAAGACAGCGCGTGGGGCAGACAACCAATAATCTTGCCTAATCTAGCTCTGCCGTGATAGTGGTTCTTTATCGCAATTTTCCCCATTTTGCGCCTTTCATGGTTCGAACAAATAATATCAATGCACTGTTCCTGATGTTTAAAAACCACTCTGGTTAGTTAGTCAATTGGCTTGTATTTTCTTGAAAAAAAAGTAGTTCGATTGGAGCCACTGTTAAGTCTTAATTAAATAACTCAATCGCATACAGAAAATTTTGTTTAAATGTTCCACTTTCATTTAAGGTCATTTTTGATTTAAGGTCATGTAACAATAGAGGATATCACTCAGAAGTTCTAGGGTAACCAGTGGTATATATGAGAATACCTACCAAACTGGAAAATATAATACTGCTTCACATGAAGTTCAGACATGCTATGAGAGTAACGTTAACTGAATTTGGGTTCAGCTACAGATTGAATTTTAATTTAGGTGCAGTTTTCAGTTGACGATTTGGTTTGACAATCTGGCTCGGTTAGCATAGCGCCGAGTTTAACCAGTGGTAATATAGAATTACCATTACAAATCTAATCACTGGTTGTATCCCATATATCCGTCAGTGTAAAGCATCAGCAGGCAGTCAATGTGCAATTAATTTTTGCTGGTACAACTCGACGTGCGGACCAGCAGTTATCTGTATTAGCATAAAATAAGTCATCACTTTGTTCTCACCAGCTGGCAGTAACTACTGAATTCTGGATGCAATATTAGGCAGTCATGGACCGGCAACAACGATTTTACTTTATGGAATGTACACACCAACATATTCAAAACGCATTTAGCATGTCGTTGGACGAAGCGCCATAAGTGTCACAATGTGTCACAATACCAGCGTTGTTACGGTCGTGCACATCCACATTCACTTGTTATGTTCATAACGAGGGCACAGCACGGAACGTTATATTATAGCCATCATCACCACCAGCCTGACTACGCCCACTGCAGGACAAAGGGCTTTCCCATTACCCACCAATCAACTCGGTCCTGTGCTTGCTGCTGCCACTTTGAACCCGCCAACTTCCTAATCTCATCTGCCCGCCTAACTTTCTGTCCCATTCTCAACTGCTTGCCTTCTCTAAGATTTCAGTCTGCAATCTTTAATGACCAGTGGTTATATTTCCTGCACGAGGGCAAAATAGTCTTATTGTAGTAATTTCTAATTACTAACTTTGTGAACGCACTCACCTGAAAGGAAAGGCCAGTGATGACAACCCTAAACTGCAACAGCAGGTTGTAAGTGGTTGGGTCAAATGCAGCCAGGTTTACGAAGGCCAGGTTGTTGTAGAAGCAGTACAGCAGCGCAGGCACGAAATACAGGAAGAGCACTGGTGCAGTGAGAATGACGCAGCATTACTTTTACACAGTCAAAGCTTGTAAAGGCAAGGTCCACCTGACATGAAAGAGCATTTTTCTACATGCAATAATTCATTACAAATGTATACACGTACACTCAACCTCATTATAACAAAGTTGCATCTTGCAACAACTTGCATCAAAAAGCCAGGTTTTTTATATCCGATGATTTGCTATAAAGGAATATTCCTAATGGTATATCTACCGCAAAATTATTCTTAATTACCTTCGTTATAACCGATATTTCGTTATATCTGGGTTTGTTATATCAAAGTTTGAGTGTATGTAATAGTGTTTTAACAGCAGTACCATTCTTCATTTACCATGGTTATAACCGATAATTCTTTCAATCCGTATTTGCCACGTCAAGGTTCGAATGACCATGAAATCAGCTTGGTATTCTTGGCAGCATGCAGTTTCCGTGCATCACGAGACAAGCTATGTTCTCGCATGCTAAGCTTGTTCAGAATGAGTTTGGTCAAATGGTTGTCGACATTTGATGGCAGCAAAGTATATGAATGCCAGTGAGGTCAACTTAGGAGAACAACTTCCAGCTTGTCCATACATATATCTGTCAACTTGCCTTGTGATATATATGCATGTCCAAGAGATGTCCTGTGGCATTCATAAAAATTTTTATCACTCAATTTTCTTCTTTTGTCATGATGACCATTGGAGCAAAGTGATAGAGTGTGAGAAGAAAAGGCAGTGGAAAAGAACTGTTATGCTTTTTTGATGGCAAGTTACTGCTCATTTTACCGCAAACATGCACAGAATAGTGGATAAACTATGACCTATTCTGCATTAAAATTTCAAGGGGATAACTGTAGACAAATTATACCACTAATCCACTGATATAAAACAGCAACCAGGTCATTCAAGAGTATACAACCAGGCAAGTCTTTGCACAAATTCGCGCATAGAAACTTTTACTCAGAAGGGCTCGAAATGAGGCCTGTTCTGTCCTACAATGTACTATTTTAAATTCGAAACAATTAACAACCATAAGCTTGCATGTCATCAAATTTTAAAAACATATTTTTTTGCTAGCAGTCTAACTTAATGCAGTCTTCAGTGAGTCAAGGAACACTGAACAAGGCCAACAGATTGAAGATTTTTGCAGACAACAGCAAAAAACATGGGGGCAATGCAAGGAAACGCAAAAGACGAGTGCCCGCCTTTGTGTTGCTTCGCTTTGGCCCTGAATCTTCCTCCGAAATTGCTAAGACAAATGGGCATGCTACTTGTTTAACAGTTCTTTTGTTCATATTTTCCTGTTTAAATGAAGGTGTCCCTTGCAAAAATAATGTTCAACAACAGCTACTGCTTTTCAGGTGTAGTTATTGTCTTCTGTCCACAAAATTCACTGCAAAAGCATTCGTTCTGCATCTAAGCCTGACACTTTAAACCATTCTAAGCCAATGTAGCTTTATTCACACATACCTTTTCGGTTTTTGCCGATTTCTGTGAGCAACGACTGGAATGAATGGCTGTGAAAGTAAAAAACAATTGGAGAGCATGTTACAATCATGCAAACTGTTTTTGTATCCTCACAGCTATTTCAAAAAAGCTGCAGAATAAATTTTAAAATTTTTCACCATATCTTTCACGACCGAAAATTTTATAAACTAAAAGACTTCACAGTAGCACCTGAACAAATTTCTATGAGGTCACATATGAAAGGAAAGGGGGAAGGGGAGAGGGAATGCTCCCTACACCTGACAAGAACAGCTAGCTACACAAGACACCACAAATAATTACCTGCGACACGAATTTATTGAGAAAAACAAAATGACAAGCTCAGCACAAACTAACTGCGCAGTTGCTGAAACCGAACATTAGTAAATTCTTGTAAACTAGGCAAAAAAAAAGTTATGAATTAAGTCATCGATGTCTACAACATATTTATTTTTGCACCACGATGCTTTCATTCCACTCTCGCCCGACCCACACATTTTTTTGGAGACGAAACAAGAAAAGCAGCCGCCGACAGCATTGCCAACATGAAGTGAGACAATAGATCATCAACTTGCGATGATGCCATCTTGGGACTTCATGTAACATGGCATTGCATGATGACATGGTATTGTTGCTTGGCTAAAGGTGGTCCAATCCAGGGTGCTACTGCAGAGCCATGTTAGGTGCTCAAAGCTTTTCTCCTTGGGGAGAGGGGGTTGGGGTTACAATTAACTCATAAGATGGCTTTCACCTTCCAGTCGCCTTAGGTGAATGCATGTGGAAACATGCGTGAATTTTTTTTTAATGCGAAGCATTTCTCTTTTCAATAAAGGTACTGTCAGTGTCCATTCCGTCTGTGCGTCCATCCATCCATTTATCCATACGTCCATCCGTCCGTCCATCCATCGTCCATCCATTCCATCCATCCATTTATTCGTCTATCCGTCCATCCATCCATACGTCTATACATCCAACCGTCCATATATCCATCCATTCATCCATCCATCTATCTGTCCATCCATTCGTCCATCCATCCATACGTCCATACATTCATCTGCCCATTCATTCATCCGTCCGTCTGTCCATCCATTCATCCGTCCATCTATCCATCCATCCATTTATTCGTCTATCCGTCCATCCATCCATACGTCTATACATCCAACTGTCCATATATCCATCTATTCATCCGTCCATCCATTCGTCCGTCTATTCGTCCATCCGTCCATTCATTCATCCGTCCATCCATTCATCCGTCCATCCATCCATACGTCCATACATCCATCCGCCCATCCATACGTCCGTCCGTCCGTCCGTCCATCCATCCGTTTATTCTCAGGGTGGAAAGGGAGAAATATGGGTTAGCATCAAGCACATGCAGCCTTTGACGAGATTAGTCGATGGTCTGTCACGTGCAAAGCTATGGCTGCCAATGCTACTGGCCATTTCACAGCAATATGCGGGACCCGAGTGTGCTCACTGAGTTGTGTAGCTTATTATATTAAATGCCAGGGGGGGGAAGGCACTGATTGGCCCACACTGCACTCCCCTCCGGACTCGCGCGCAATTCACATTGGCTGAAGGCACCGCGTCGGGTGGTACGCGACATTAAGGGACAAATAAATCATAAGAGGGCTTACCGAACTGTACGATGTCCCTTCGCAAGTTGTCTGTAACCATCGTGGTCTCTTCATATCACTGACGTTGTACAGTAAGGCACAGATGAGCCACCTTGTGTACAACCTACGCCTCCATCGTTTTTAGTCAATGTGTACTGTACCATAGCCTCCTTTAATAATAAATAATAAAGGAGGCTATGACTTTAATAATAAAGGAGGCTATGACTGTACGTATTGACAGTGAAGCGGACCGAGGCGCACTTTTGTAGCGTTCAGCAAACGCTTATTCATGTACGTTCGGTCGCGGTCGAGGCTATCGACATCCGCACGGCAGTGCCAGGGGCGGCGCCACGACGCGAACCGTGACGGAAAGAAAAAAAAAACAGGCAAAACAAACAAGCCCCGCTGACAAAAAAAAATAAATAAACGCACGACCATATGCCGTGAATCCATCGTCATACTTGTATAACTGCATGTACATCAAAAGGCGGACGCATGTCCACATACAAAGGCACGTCATCGTTTGGGATTACGACACGAGTCGCTTGGGTACTTTCGAGAAGGAATGAAAGAGACGGGAATTCGATGCGTCGTGCAACGGTTTGTCACCATTGAGAAACCGTTGCCATTCATCGCACAAGGGCTCTCACAAGCTAGACTTTGCGCACTTTACGGGATACCGAAAGGAAACGAAATGAGAAACATGCGCGGATGACGTGGACACGCAATATAGAGACATTAGCTGCATTGCTACCAACATGAAAAGCGAGATATTTTTTTTCACTGGGAACGCCCCACGCCCTCATGCGCGGTCACAACAATCACGTATGGGCGCCGGGTCAACCTGACATCAGCTCGACAAACGGTGGCCTCCTTCCTACCTGAGCATTCACTTCCTGTCGAATGCACGCATTGACACAACAACGCATATGGTAAGATTACGTGCTTGTTACATGCACAGTAAGGGGACTCGGGCGGTTGCGTCTAGCCATGCGTGAAATCACTGCGCGAAATTAAGTCAGTGTCGAAATGATTAACGTTGATTACCGTTCACAGGACGGAAGGAAAACGGGAAGGAGGGAATATGTGATCGTAGGGGAATTTACTTAGTTAATTTACAGAGCGTTTGCACACTTCTTTTGCTTTTTAAAAGAAAAATGTAAAATTTGCTTCTGTTACCCGAGGCAGCAGAGGAAAATGCAAACTATAGTATAGTGGTAGTATATATAGGCCTGAGAATAAGGTCGAAAGGCCCGGCCTTACGGCCATCTAAGGAATGCAAGCAGGTGCACCAGTACCCATCTTATTGCTAAACTATGCTATAAAAAGCTATGCCACCCCTACCCCCTCCCTCCTCTTTTCTCATTATACTATACAAAGCTATGCCATACCTACCCTCATCTCCTTTCTTATTATACTATAAATAGCTATGCCATTCTATGCCCTCTCCTCCTTTTTCATACGATACAAAGCTATGCCGTCCCCACCCTCTCCTCTTTTCTTACTCTACTATAGAAAGCTATGCCATCCCATACTCTCCTCCTTTCCCACTATACCATACAAAGCTATGCCACCCCATACCCTCGCCTCCTTTCTTACTATACCATACAAAGCTATGCAATCCCATACTCTTTCTTCCTTTCTTACTATACTATACAAAGCTATGCCATCCTATACCCTAGCCTCTTTTTCAAAAGGAGTTGCTATGCTGAACTGCTTGGCACTTTGCACACTTCGTGTGTTCTCGCATACCACTTTCGTGTCCTGCTTGTCTCTGTGTCGTCGTTTTGTTCTCGCGCTATAACTATCGTCATACCCACTCACGATTTTACACGAACCACTGTTAAAAAAAAAAAGCAGTCAGGAAAATTTCCGCGTTCACTCACAGTGCACGCAACTATACAAAAGACGTGGCATACACGCACGTCGCGATAACGCAATCCAAGCGATGCGTCAGCGTCCTCTTCCCTGAGCAGAGATGAAAAGCCCGCCCGTGGGCCGGCTCGCCCGTCAAAGTACGTGAGGCCAGGTGGCAGCGCAGCAGACGGACAACGCAACGGGCGCGTTGGCGCGCGCATGCGCGGACGGTGCATGCATGCGCGTGACCCGAATCGTACATCCATTCCCATACACGCCCGGTACATCACTCGCGTATATTAAATATATGGCGTGTACAAAGGGACAGTACCTCCACAATACCCCCCCCCCCCTCCACCCTTCTCACACATCGCACCGACATACAAAAATACGCGCATTTCCTTCAGTAAGCATACCAGCGTTGTTGCCACCGGCAACAACGCTGACGCCGACGTTGCAAAAAAAAAAAAAAATGCGTTGACGTGTAAGCGGAGTTTGAGCGAACGCGTGCCCCTCCAAGGTAACAGCTGTCTCCACCGAGCTAAAGTCGACGGCGAAACGCGCGCGGCGCTTCAAACCTTGACATGTCGCGCAGGACGTTTATTTTAGAAAGGCGCAAATTTTGACGTCAAGAACCCTGTAAGCCATAACAGTAGTGGCCTGTAGGAGAGGTGCCATCCGCTGCGGTGCAACGGCGACCAAGGATTACTGTTTCAAAGGTAGAATACCTTCTTCAAGCGTCAAGGCCTCGGTACATCTTCAAATTGAACATGTGCAAGAAATGAGTACAACCCCTTTTCGCTGCTGTGCCGGCTGTGCTTTCTTGTGGCATTGCAATAAAGAGCTAAGATTGGCAAGAGACCGAGAAGAAAGAGAGAAAGGAAGAAGGAAATAGAACGTAATAGGCAAATAAAGAGATAAAGAAAGAAAATAAGAGAACAAGACGGGAAGAGAAAGACAGAGAAACAAGTAGAGAGAGAGAAACAAATTGAGAGCAAGGAAAATAAGAGAAGAGATAGAAAGATAGACGAAGCGATAGAGACAGAGAAATAGAAACAGAGACAATAATTAGCCGGATAAAGAAATAGAAGAAGAGGGGAAAAAATAAAAACAAACTATAGGAATGCCGCCCAACTCCGTTGCTCTTCAGGCCTGGCACGAAGCTGCCTCGACTATTTTTCTTTTCTTTCCCAACGAACACCGCGTCAACAGCGCACGCACGAGTACGAACACTCGCGCATGCGCAACATCGCGTCCTTCAGTGTTGTATACACAACGAACGCGGCGGCTTCGCGACGTCCACCTCTGACCTCCGCACGTCGGCTTGCAGCTCGCGCCGCGAATGCGCGGATGATTCCTCCGCAGAAACGTACACTCAATGCAGAGACGTATGTAAGTACACGCATACGTCGTCGTGTATTCACGTCAAACTGTCCACACACTTGCATACACGAACGACGCGGAAAGCCGACGCGTTAGCCAAGAGCCGAAGCGGGTATACGCACACCTATCAGGCACAATTCGACGAATACGCGTTCGTTCAACTGACAGCCGCAGAATGATGCGCCAGTCAACTATATGTATACGAACGTGTAAGAAAAAGCGACTGGGATTTCACACAGATGTGTTGCCGAGAATCCACGCGTGCATAGTTAGAGAATCCGCTTATACGAGCGTGGACGTGCCGTTTCTTGGAGAGATAGACAGGGAGTTTCAAGTTACGTGCCGCAGTTGCTCTCTGACGAAATTAAGTTTTCCCATCCATTCCATCAATTAAGTTACGCCTTCTTACATCGGACACGCCCCATATACACCTGAAGTAGGTTTTTTTTTTCCATGATTTGAAGTTAGAGGTTGTGTCCAAAAAACCTGGACGAATCTGTTTTCTATATTGTATGTTCTTTATTAACTGCGGTGCAATATGACCTAAGCCAGTTCCGGTGTCGTGTCAGAAAACTCTTAATGGCTCTTATCGCGCATAGCGTAGCAATGCATATTAAAGTAGCATAGAATGGGAAAGGGGGGTGGGGGTGAGGAGGACCGAAATGAAGAGAGGTTAAAGCACGACATGGCCTTGTAGAATTTACAGCAATGGGGGCAGGAAGGCGAAGTAAGGGTGAGGGGGGATAACGATAAAGGGTAGGTAAGAGGGTAAATCGTATAACATAGTACAGTATAGCATATCAAGAGGTGGGAAAGAGGAGTGAAGGTAAGCAGGGGTGATGTGAGCGTTAGGAGAAGGGAAATGGGGGAGGGGCACATAGAAACAGATAAAGTTTAGAGAAAGGGAGGTGTAGACAGTGTTAAAGAAAGATGATGATAAAGGAAGATGGAAGAGACAACTCAATCTGCGTTATCCAGGTGATGACGCTCACACACCAGATTCCCCAGGCGTAAGACTGCTTTTGTGTTTTACCTGTGCAGACACGTGGTTCCCGTAGGACAACCAACGTACGTTTGTCGTTCCGATACTAATGGTTAATATATTGCCACAAAATAAGTATTGGAGTTTATAGAAGAAATAAAACAGCACCCACGAAACTGACCGACGTGGGACTACATACACACATTTTCAGGACCGTGGCGCGAGAATACGAAGGCTGACGTCACTGTCCCGGCGCTTCCGGGAGGTCGGGCCCGTTTACCACAGTTCGTGGGAGATTATGGCGGCCCGAAAGGGATTATGGCGTCGCCGAGAGAGCCTTCCGTGAGAAGGTGTATTCGGGGCAAACCTTTTTTTTTTTTTCAGGCTACGTGAATTAAAATTTCTCGTCTCGGAAAATCGCTAAACAGTATGCGGGTGCCAATTCAGAAAAACTATGGTCAGTGTATACACCTTTTCGCAGGAAGGAAAAAAACACCGCCATGATGGTTCAACACTGTCGAAATTTGGGCTTGTTGGTGCATTGTGACGACAGAAAATAGCGCAAAGAAACGGGGACACAAGACGAGGACACACGGCACAGGCGCTAACTTCCAACATAATGTTTATTACCACCGCACACGAAAAAGTTAATTTCTAAGAAATTAATTTTTTTGTGTGCATCATTCATGTCATGTGATGTTATTTTTCTTGGTGATATAAGCGAGTGTGCGGTGGTAATAAACATTATGTTGGAAGTTAGCGCCTGTGCCGTGTGTCCTCGTCTTGTGTCCCTGTTTCTTTGCGCTATTTTCTGTCGTCGCCATGATGGGCTGTGCGCGGGAGTACGAAGGCCAAGGGCGCAGCGTTGTCAGTGCATTTTCGAGGGGACGCGCCAATTTGCACAACCCAAGGAGGGCTATGGCGGCGCCCAGGGAGGCGTTTATGCAAAGGTGAATACAGCCTCTTAAGAAGAGGGGGAGAGAGGCGCGTGTAAGGAGAATTCTTAGATACGTGGGAAACGCCACTCACTCTCTGAGGTAGAGCAGCGTGGCGGCGAACAGCTTGCACAGCTCGGTGAGCATCACCACCGCGGTGACGTTGTAGTCGTACCGGTCCTGCGAGTTCTTGGTCGCCGTCACCAGGATGCCTGTATGTGCAAGAAATACAAGTATTATTTTTTTTTTCGTACAAAGTTCTCGCGAGGCGTAAGGGTACCTAGTATACGATGATCTACTGTACACAAGGCACGCGTATCCAGCAAACTCATAGGAAAGCTTAGCTACACGCCACGGTTGCCGACTGCTGACCCGAAGGTCGCGGGATCGAATCCCGCCCGCGGCGGCCGCATTTTCCATGGAGGCGATGAATACTGAGGCCCGTGTACTTAGATCTAGGCCAGTTAAGGAACGCCAGGTGGTCGAAATTTTCGGAGAGGTCCAATAAAGCGTACTTCACGATGATATCCTGGTTTCGGGACGTGACACTCCAGATGATGATGATCATACAACTACTACTACTACTACTACAAATAATAATAATAATAGTAATAATAATAGTAATAGTAATAATAATAATAATAATAATAGTATAAACCTTGCTTAGTCATGACTTCTTTCTTCCTTCCTGTTCTAACGCTATCAGCGCCAACCACATTAACCAATAACCTGGGATTTTACGGTCCAGAACATCATTATGATATATAGGCCGTACCGGAGGTATATTGAAATTTCGACCTCTTTGGGTACCCAGATCGCACAGGATTATCGGCGTCAAACGAAACGCGAACAGCGGCAATCGTCAGCAATGGTTCTGTGCGCGGTCATCGCCGCGGGCATGCGCATGTGTTGCCCAATCGGGGCCCTTGAATAACTATGACTGGACGGAGCGCACTACACAATTTCTAGTGCACGTTCACCGCTGTTCGGGTTTCATTTGATGGCGATAGTATACGCGGGTCCCTTGCATTTCGCGCTAAAAGACCGACATTTCGCGCTTGCATTTCACGTTAACTTACGGGAACGGGTGGTAGTGGTTCACGAAGAAGGAAGAAGGCACCCGATTTCTGTCTGCCTTAAGGCGACACGGCGCAGTATGTCATGCTAAAATAAAGTAAGGCAGTATACGGTAGCGCGCGCCCCTCCTTTCCAGAGACAGTACATCCGCCGCGGATGGCAGGATTCTCGTTTACAATGTGTAGGCAGGCAAACCACAACAAGGCGGGACAATCTTTGAAAGAGCTTTTTGCGTTGTTGCGATACCTGCACTGGTAAAATGTCTACGAGCGGGAAAAGTTGAAGCAGTACGGTAACACCGTACCGTATTTGCGTACCGCATTTCCGCAACTCGCTAAAGGACCCTAATGTCACGGCGGCAATCGAAACCACGTCTTACGGATCGACACCCGAGTTCCTCACCCACTGTGTACCACTGCGGCGGCCAGAGCTAGCGAGGATGTACAAAGATAGCAAACTGCTCACGGTGCGACCCTGAAAGCATACACAAGCTTCCCAGCCCGCGATAAGAAACTGCAGCATTCGATCCCAACGACCATGCATGACGAGTAGATAACGATTTCGAACAGCTTCTTGTTGTTATCTGGCCGTATTACAGTAGCTGTATCTTTTTGTCGGCGTAGGAGCTAGCACACCTGCCATAAGAAGCTTCTTTTCTTCTGATATAACCACAATCTCTCTCTCGACAAAAATAGGCAAGGTCAATATCTTGGCACGATATCGCAGAGTACACGCGATCGTACGACCGGCGTGATAAGAGAAAACATTCACGCTCGCAGTATACAGTGCACATGAACGGCATTACACGCATGCCCAGTTTCACACCATGCAAGAGCAGATTAATAATAATAATAATAATCATAATAATAATAATAATAATAATAATAATAATAATAATAATAATTGTAGTTCAGCGATCCAAAACCACGAGGCTGCGGAAAATTCGAACAGCCGGGTTTCTTTAACGTGCACCTAAAATCTACACGGACTTGAAGCATTTTCGCATCCATGAAAAAATGTGGCCTCAGCGGCCGGGATTCGTTCCCGCTACCAGCGGGCCAGCAATCGAGCGCTATATTTACTGCAGCGCGGCGGGTTCACCACGAACGGACGTATATACGATGCGGATCGTACGTGCACCATTAACCTTCTTTTTTCTTTCTTTCTTGCGCTTTCATCGCCCGTTGCGCGCACCGAAGCGGCGAGTTGCTCTCCATCGCAGGCGTCTGCAGCGCCACCGTCGACGAGAGAGAGCAGCTGCGTCTAGAGAGAGAGATTAATGAAAGAGGAAGAGACAAAAAGGACGCTATTTTCTGCCTCCCGTCGCGGGGGCACGGCTCAGCGCCTTTAGGGATCGGGGAAGGGGAAGTAAAGATGATAGGAAGAAGAGAGGAGGGAAAGAAAAAGTGAATGGCATGGCAAGAGAACGTCTTGTCAGTACAGTCAGTAGTGCGAGTGTAAAGAGTCCGTCTATAAGGCGGCGAGGTCCGCGCAAGCACAGAACTCGAGGAAGGCTCGAAGGGCTTTCGTCTTCGAGCGCGCGGGAAAAAGTATGTCTTCCATTGTTTCGGCAGGTAGTCCAAGCAGACGATAGCGGCTTACCAGTGCGCAACGCTCAGTGGCCAGGTCAGGGCAGGAGCAAACAATATGCTGCAGCGTTTCGTCATCACCGCACCTTCGGCACGCTGGCGATGAAGAGCGACCCGCGGAATACATGCGTGCCGCAGGCCAGACGCTGCCAGTACGCAGGCGAAGCAACAACCGCCGCTCGCATCTGTCCAGGCCGGTCTCCGGAAGGGATGGTGGAGGTTTGCCGCTTGCCACCCGTGTGTCAGGGTGGGCCGTTGGTAAGAGCTTCCGCAGTCGCTGCCGTGAGTAATCCGACTGGGTTACCGCCTTAGTGACTGGCGTGTCGCAGTGGTGTGCTGCCTTAGCGGCGGCGTCAGCCTCCTCGTTGCCAGCTATTCCAACGTGCGAGGGAAGCCAGTGGAGGGACAGGCGCACACCACTCTCTTTGATGGCGGTCAGTTTTGCGTGCAGCAACGCCACAGTTATGCCTGCTTGGTCTGGTTGGAGCAGCGCTTGTAGGGCTGGTCGGGAGTCGCACAGAATCGCCACAGGCAACTGGGGTAACGTGGCAGCAAGGTGGTCGGCTGCCAAGTGAAGGCCGGCCAATTCAGCTGCAGTGGAGCTGGCGTGAAAGGGAAGTCGGCAGCGGATGGTTGTCCCAGTCGATGGTATGACGCAGGCAGCCGCGGCCGAATGGGGGCTGTCCCGAACGGACCCGTCCGTGAATACCAGGAGCTGCCCCTTAAGTCTTTCATGAAGTTTCGCCACGGCTGCCTGATGGAGCTCGCATGCCGGTGTGCGCCTTTTTCTGAGGTTGTCCAGAGTTAATTGTACGTCCAGAGGCTGCTGATGTGGTGGAGGGGGTTGGATTGGACTGGGGGGATCGGGGACCAGCTCTTCATAGAGAGCGCAGATCTGTGCCATCCGTGACGCTGGTCGGCTCCGCAGTCTCCGAAGGAGGGCAGCGCCCCCGAGGGCCCTGTGAAGGCGATCCACGTGATGCAGCGCCTGTCGTAGCATCAAGAGTGACAGAGGCCAGGTCTGGGCCTCCGCCAGGGTTGCAGCTATGGGTGACTGACGGGGAAGTCCCATGAAGCGCCGAATTGCCATGCGATGTTGCCGCTCCAGTTGCTCCTTGCGGTGTGGCGCTAGCTGCACCAAGGGCAGTGCATAAGTTTGCGCTGTCGTTGCAGCCCCTTCGTAGAGTCTTAGAGCCAGCCGTGAGGTGCACCCTTGGCCCCTGCTGAGCAGTTTGCTTACGGCAGTCTCGACCCTGGTGGCCTTGAGGACGGCGAGCTTAACGGCTGGTATCCAGGTAAGGCGGTGGTCGATCCTTAGCCCCAGGTACGTCACTGCATCGCTCCACGGGATAGGTCGGTCACCTAGCACAAGCCTTCGGACGGCCCTCCGCGCAGTGGCTCTGGGGTGAACCAGCAGTGCCTCCGTCTTCGTGGGCGAAACGTTCAGTCCGATTGCCTTGAAGAAAGAGACGACGGCATCCAAGGAGCGCTGCAGGGAACGCCTTATGGCCGTGAAGTTTTGCCTAGGCCCCTTAACCCACAGTGCCACATCGTCTGCGTACAAGGAGCACTGCGTGGGGTAACGCTTGTCTGCGGGCATCGCGGTCGGCAGCCCCGCTAGCACCAGGTTGAACAGAAAGGGGCTCAGGACGGAACCTTGTGGAACGCCTGCTGTCACTGGCCGTGGATCGCTGAGCGCGCGTCGTACTCTAACCCGGAGGGTGCGTTTTGCCAGAAAGGCACTGATAAAGGTACGTAGGCAGCTCACGATGCCGAGTGTGTCCAAAGCACTCTCTATCGCTATGTGAGGCAAGCTGTCAAAAGCGCTCTGTACATCCAGCAGGACGAGGAGGGCCACTTCGCCGTTGCGCTTGGCCTCCTCCAAGGTAGAGACGACGTCCGCGATCGAGTCTGCTGTGCATCGGTGGCGTCGGAAGCCCGTCTGCTGTTCTGGTAGGAAATCCTTTGCCCCCGCAATCCAATTTAGGCGTGCCAGTGCTATGGCTTCCATGAGCTTGCAGGCAGCAGAGGTGAGAGAAACGGGTCTGTAGGACGTAATGGCGGCACAAGGGCGGCGAGGTTTCCGGATCGGCACCACAACAGCGGTCAGCCAGGCTTCAGGTAGGTTGCCGCTCTGCCATATTTCATTAAAAGTCCTCAACAGGTGTCGTCGTGAGGCCATATCCAGGTTGCGCAGCATCTGGTATGTGATGCCGTCGGCACCAGGGGAACTGCGGCGCTTGGTTCTGGCTAGAGCAACGTTCAGTTCGTGTTCGAAAATAGGGTCCTGACACAGAGATGCGATCTGGCTGGCCGTCCAGGCAGGGTGATGACCTTGCGGTGGCTTGGGAGCAGGCGTGGCGATGAGGGCTGAAGGATTGGCTGGTGGGAGTTCTGTGAAGCGATCGGCCAGTCGCTCTGCCAGTTCTTTTTCACTAATGCCCAAGTAGATGGCCACCGCAATGACGGGTTGCCGCACCATTGGTCCAGTGACGAGGGATCGTAGAAGTCGCCATGCTTTTGCGCCACCTCTTGCCTGACTCAGG